TAAGTCATCTTTTGTATTAGGTTTTAGGCATTCGGTTTAACGTAAAAAGACAAGGATTAACTGCGAATATAAATATTCACATTACATATTTAGATATAAAGCTATTCATGATGAATACTTCAGACTTATCTTCTAAAAGCTGTTTTTATGTAAAATATTTGCAACTTTAGTCAAGTATACCAAATATAATCGAAGATATAAAGATCAAGATAGTGTGACCTTTTGTGTTGTCGCAGTCTCTTTTCGTTGTATAGAGGCTGTTTGACCTTGTTTTGGCAACTTGGATCGTGGACGTGGTACATCCCCAGAAATTTCGCCGGCATCGTAGTCGGCATCGTCAGTAAGTCTCGCCATTCTTAGCACCACACAACAACTTGTCAACGCTGTCGTTCTCACCCCTTCACCCTTGTGATGGGTATGTTGATCAGAGTCTGCCATATTGTTACGCAGTCCTCCTTCCATAGGTTATATCACAGTCTCTCTCTTGCCCCGTAAGATCCGTCTGTTATATCCCTGGTTCACGTATTTCACCCTACCCCTGCCACCCCATCTGTGCAACTTGAGGTGTTATTCACCCTTTCCTGCGTCTGGGTGACTAATTCGAAGCTCAAGTCCTTGATACTTGGACCACGTTTGTGGTACAATAGACTTATTGTCAGCAATTAGCTCCAGTTTTCGTCGCGTCTATCCAGTTTCTATCCCTAACAACAAGTTTATGACTTCCTATGCCACAGCTTCTTGTGTGCTAACCCACAAACGTTGTGGTTTAATATTGAACCTAATCAAAGCAAGCAGCACCATAACAATTGTGTGTTGGTATACAAGAGACTGGAAGTCATAGACTTGGTATCAGGGATAGAAACAGGATAGATGCGGCGGAGACTGGAGCTAGTTGGCTGACGATAGGTCTGTTGTATCATAGACGTGCTCCATGTAGCAAAGGCTTGAGCCTCGAATTATTCACCCAGACGCAGGGAAGGGCGAGTTACGCCTCGAGTAGGACAATTGGGGTTGCAGGGGTCTAGTGAAATACATGAACTAGGGATATAGCTAACAGATCTTACGGGACAAGAGAGAGACTGTGATATAACCTAGGGAAGGAGGACTGCGTAACAATATGGCAGACTTTGATCAACATTCCCAGCACAAGCGTGAAGGAGGTGAAAACGACAACCTGGAATGTAAAGGGTTTTCATGGATGCAGCTCGAAGGAGCACACCACACTACATCGAAATAAGCACGGTAAAAATTGTGATAGTGTAGGCGTGATAGGAGAATATAGGAAATGTGAATAGCCCAGGGCAGAAGTTGAGATACCACAACTTTTTAGCACACGTTTGGTCAAATGATCGGCTTCACTTGTCTCTTTGACGAGTTGTTGTGTATTGGTAACAATGGCGAGACTCACTGAGGATGCCGGCGAAACTTCTGGGAATGTATCACATCCACTGTCCTACTCTGGAAATGAGCATGCATACAATGGACTCCGGACTAGGTGCATTCCTCTAAGTCTTCCTACCAATATCACCAAGTTGCAAAAACAAGGTCAAACAACCTCTATACGAAATATACCCTATACAGACTGGCATTTTAAAAATAAATGGATGGCTCCTTTTTCCTTCGCTTCACTAAATTTAATTATCGCGTTTTTTCTTTATACAATTTCTTAAATCTATTCACTTATTTGCATATTATTCTCTATAGAATATATTCTACTGTTGAATCTAAGCGTATTTTTTTAACTTACAGCAAATGATTCCGGACTTTATTCCGCAACCAGCTGCTCTTCAGGAAATCATTCTTCTTATGAATCTTCCTTACCACCAGGCTACTCCTTTCTAGCGCGCCTTTTGCGTGAAGACATTGCCGCTTGTCTCGAGTTCGCCGACGATCGGCTGCTCGACGCTATCTACTCGGGCTTGTCGACAGCTTCTCTTGAGCTTGAGCCAATAAAGTGTGCATCGGTGCAAAACTTTACACAAAAACCGATAATCAAATCATTCCTCGGTCCACCTAAATGTATGCTTAATTAACTGCATTTCTGAATTCCCCGATGATACATTTTTAGCACATTTTCTGCTGTGAATGCTCTAGTATTGCTAATATATGAAGAAACTGTAGGCTGATTTTACCTGAATTTTGATGGCCAAAGAAACCAGAGCCTAAACCTATTTTATATATAAAAATATGTTTTTGACTGTCATTTATATGCTTATTCATTCTATATTATTTAAGCCTTTTTTATTTGTCTAGTTCTAAAATGATTTTTTTAGCCGTATACATCTTAGATTAAGAAAGTTAATTGCTGAAATACTTGGCATAAAATGTATTTTTGCAGTGGGTCTTGTTCTAGCGTTGTGGTGAACCATTTGTCTAAGGTTGTTTAAAGCAATTATGGTTGCTTCTTGATAGATTCAAGAGAATATTTTGTATTACTGATAAATCTCCCTCTTTATTATCTCCATCATATGCTTTCTCACTTTCTTGCCCCTTCAGGACGCTTGGTGTAGTCGAATTTTAGTTAAAAATCAAATCCTTATCAGGTAATCGTAAATAACTGAATAATCTATGTTTATGGTTACGAATCGATCAATGTCGACTCATCAGTCTTTGGCAATAGACACCGATAGGTTCTTATAATGATCTCTCCTATATATATTTCAGTCTTGCAAGAATTACTTTGTAATTTTGAGTTTGATTCAAGAACATTAGGCTCCAGTAAATATGCTTGTGGTACAGTGGCTAAAATTTTTAGAAGGATCCCTTGCAATTTTAACACCATTCCATCTTATTTGATGCATTAAATGACTGAAAGTGCTAAGCAGCTTAATTCATAAGGCTGCTCTGATTCGATTAGTCTATATGATCGTTTCAAGCTTAACAATGCTCTTATTTGATGGTTAGCTCTATCCCGTTTGAGTGTAAGATCACTATGCGAAATAGCAATATTTTTTTCTCAGCTATCAGAAGCTTGGCTGTTGCCTATGCTTACCGCCTTAAAGTAATTAGACGGCGGCTGGGCTCACGATGGATTGAGAAGACTTGCATTGAACTTCATTATTCACAGCATAATGAAAGGCCTTTCTTATTCAAAATGGATTGCTTTTTCGACCTCACTTTGGCTTTGTTGCACTTTCGATCTCGTATTGGTCCCATCAACATTCCTAACGGGATTCCAAATCAGCTCATGCTCGTCAAGTTGGCATAGCTACTACTTTGTAATACATGATCATTTTCAAACTAAAGGGGATAAACCTTGAAAAGCTCAAGTGCACTCAGTAGGTTTGGCCGGTACATTACTGTTTTTACAGCTTAACTCCATATTCTCCATGTTCTTTTGTTGACGTTTATTTCTTCTATCTTCACTGTATTAAATTAGGGGGTAATTTTAAAGATTCCATCCAATGTGACCCACAGCCATGCAGCCACATATGTGATCACGAAAATATTGATCCTAATATATGGCGGTGTTTCTTTATATTTATGTACTGCTTTCAAGTTAGCATATCTGCTACCTTGCAATACATGATCAATTTCAAACTAAAGGTAATAAACCTTGAAAAGCTAAAGTGCACTCGGTAGGGTTGGCCGGTACATTACTGTTTTCACAGATTAACTCCATATTTTACATGTTCTTTTGTTGACGTTTATTTCTTCTATCTTCATTGTATTAAATTAGGGGGTAATTTTAAAGATCCCATCCAATGTGACCCACAGCCAAGCAGCCATATATGTGCTCACGAAAATATTGATCCTAATATATGGCAGTGTTTCTTC